TACCAGCTTGCCAGCTCTGTGGCTCTGTCTGGGGATGTTTAGAAAAGGGACAATGGTCTCTTCTAGCCTTGATGTCAGATACTTCATTTTCCCCCAAAATGCTACTGGTGCCTTTCTAGCTACTACCCCAGTGCTGGAGCTCAGAGGGAGTGAGTCTGTGTAGGTGAGCCCATGGGTAGGTTCTTTAAGAGGAACTGCTTGGGGGTTCCAGGGTTTCTTCCACCAACTCAATACCTGCTGGTTTTCACACCCAGGAGTTGTGGGGCTTCTCTTCCTGGCACTGGAATCCTGGGCTGGGGGGCCTGGTGTGGGGCTGGGACTCCTCGCTCCCAAGATATCCCTCCCAAACTTTTATCCACCTCACGTGGGTGTGGGACCAGCCCATTCTGCATCTCTATCCCTTCCAGCAGTTTGGATGTGTGTAGTTTCTTTAATTCTGTAGTTGTCAGCCTTCCATTCAGCTTGATATCTGACGGTCCTGAGTGAATGTTGTTTTATATTGTAGTTGCAATTTTGATGTGTTTGTGAGAAGAGGCAAGTCATGTCTGCTTATGCTTCCATCTTGACTAGAAGTCAAATCTACTCAAGTTTTATTGTATGCACACATCAACCTGGGATCTTGTTAAAGTGCAGTGTCTGATTCAGTTGTTCTAGGGCCAGGCCTGAGATGCTGCATTTATAACTAGCTCTCCTGGGGTATCCTGATGCTGCTTGTTTTTAGACCATACTTTGAGCAGCAAGGTCATGGGGCAGGGAGATCAGAGCTGCAACATGTTTTAACAATAGGGTTGCACAATGAAAAATTTTTGGCTATGACTAGGGAATGAAAGGACTACGCTCCCTTTGCGTTATCCTCTATAGCTTCTGCTTCTTTCAGTGGATTTTCTGGTATGGATGGAGCTACAATGATAGGTTTTGGCCCCCTGACAAACACCTGGATGTAACTCTTCTCTGCCACTTTAGGAGTCAGCTAAACTGGGATAAATCGATATCCTCAAATTTAAACTGATGTGATCAACAATGGCATGTGCTCCAGTCTGGAACTGAGAGATTATAGTTGCTTCTGCCTCGTAGGGTGATGTGAGGGTTAAATGAGAAAAGATTTCTAAAGTACTTTGTAGAGAGCTTAATAAAATATTGCTATTATTGTTGGAGGTATGGCTGCCTATAGACTGGGCCAAGATTCTTTTCAGACATTTATTTTAGGTCTTTAACATTGAGACAAACAGGTGATCAAAATGCCATTTCATAAAGTATGACATTACACTTTTTTAATGTGGAAATATTTTAAGGTGGTTATAAATATCTCAGCTACTAAAAACAAGCAGAAGACAAACACACAATAATAGCAACAACACTCATATACACATAAACTTCAGTAAGAAAAACCTGGCTTTGAGAAATGTAACTTACTTGTGTCCTCCCAGATATACTTGCTACAGAATATGTACTCTGCGGTATGTACTCTATGGAATGATGTATTTTAGTCACCACCAGTAAAAAGTTGCGAACAGTTACTGAAAATTATAATTTTTTAGAAAATTTGTTATGTTGGCTTTTTGTCTCTAGCAATAACTAACTGATACATTGCTTTACTAAGACCACCCTAAGTTTGGTAATAATATCATATACATATAGAACAATGATTATGTTTCTATCACTTTTTTTGTTATGTGGGCTTATTTCAGATTTTAAATCAAATGAAAGTCCACACAATTCATATTTGGTACATTTGGGCACATGGAAGAGAGTTTTGATCACAAGGGCCACATTTTCTTTCTGTTTTTAAGTGGCTCTACATATGAGCTCAAGTCATCAAATAAAATTAGAGCCATCTATACATTTGCAAATATCAGCTGGCTTGTTTGGTTTTAACTCATAGCCCTCAGATCCAGCTTCATGGTTTTCCCTTTTCATGTTTGGAAGGTAGAGTTTCACAAAGTACATGGACTATCAGTGATGCTAGTTACTTCAGAGCCCAGAATTGGCTTGCTATCCACATTGGTGAGCAAAACAGTTTAAGAGGCCATTTTTAACATTTTTTACCGTAAATACCATAGCATGCCAGACCTCTTTCTCTAGATACAGAATCGTATGCCTACATCTTCTTTTAGTTGACCCTTTGTTTTTCATGGAACAGTACAAGTTTCTCCCTGGTTCTATCTTTTCTACCTTTCCTGTCAAAAAATGTTTGTCTCATTCTTTACCACACTCCTATCTCTCTCCCTAACCCTTTTAGTGTTGAGTTCTATGAGAGCAGAGACTGTGTGTTTGTTTTCTTCATTTCTGTGTTACTAGCACCTAGCATAACACTTGGCACAGAGAATTTATTAAATATTTGTTGAAGGTTTAAATAAATATTAAGGCTGGATTTCTTTTGGTTATTTCATAATGTGGGAAATACTTATTACTTTAATTTTTCTTTCCTTTGGAATAAAGTATATCAGTTCAAGGAGTACCAGAGCAGAAACACAGACACCAGATTTTGCAGGACAACAAAAATTGCAAAGAGCATGGCTGATTGTTTCAACGCAAGTGAGTGAACAAGGAAAATCTTTCCTGATTTGTACATATTGACTTGAATTCCATACCTGCTATTGATAGAGGAAAAGGCCAAATTTTTATTTTGTTTATGTAAGAATCAATTTTTCTCCCATTTGTAACTTAATATTTATCAACCTAACTGTTAATGTCAAAATAGACACACTATCTGTGCTCACAGTAAGGAAATTCAGAGAGAAATCCTTTATATCTTATCACATACTCTTCCATGGCTTCTCAGATTTAACCTTGATGGAAAGCAAAAGCAATAATAAACAGCCTGTGTTTGTGTAATTCCTGATCCACATGCCCTCTAACTCCTCAGATGACTGAGTGGGTGAAAACATGCACATGCATTGTAATGGTGTGTATATAATAATGTCACATGTAAGGCCAGAAGCAGGGTGACATCAAAAGAGCAAGTCACAAGCTTTTAGGACTCTAAATTGAAGTTTTGTTTTTGTCAGGGCCTAAGAGAACCACAGCCACGTGAAATCATGGCCCTTAACTGCCATGTCTCCCACATACTAAGAAGAGAATTCAAATGACTATTGCAGTCAGCTGGTCAGATTGCTTCTTGCATCCTTCTTGCCTCCACTTGTTCCACCCTAGGAGATATCTTTGTTCTGGTTGAGACTGAGTGAGATCCTTGAATGTAAGATCGTATCTTTATCACCTTCCTACACACATGGCCCCCAAACTTGAAACTCCCAGAGTTTAGCATAAAGCTTAATATGTGCTCAATAAATGTTTGTAGACTCTGTTAATGAATAAACAAATGTTGCTCTGGTCAAATCTGCAGCTTCCACACCCTGCACTACTTCATGCAGTACTGACCCTGAAGATAGGAAAAGCAACATAACTAACACTGTAAGAAAATTTTTCTTGTTTATACTGGTGCATCTTGTACTTTGGCTGATCTAAGCACAAAGAGAGCTCTTTCAGTTCAGAAAAAGGAGGTTCATGATGTGTGGGAGAGCTAAGAACAATGGGCTCAGTTGATACACTGGAGATGCTCTCAGCTTCTGAGAGCCTGGAAACTCCATCTATAGATCAGTTCCAGAGGGCAGAACTAAAATAAGGGCAGACTAACACAGCTTTCTTGAGAACTAGCTTTCTGTTCCTCTGTGGTGAAAATACATTCACTTTACAGCATCATGAATCAGTTCTCCAAAATATGGTGCTGTGTCCTTGTTTGTGTCTAAAAATAAGACTTTGTCATATCTTTATTCTTTTTGCCTTAAAGTCATCCAACCAGACTTGCTTGCAGAACATTAATTGTGGTGAAGCAACAATCAGTAAATTAAATTGAAACTATTTTTGTTTTTTTAAAAATTTATTTTATTGAATTTTTCCATTACCATTTATCCCCCTTATACCTTCTTCTACCACCACCCATCAAACTATTTTTGAATGGAGCTCCTTAATTGATATCAGATTTATTTCCCCCAGCTAAAGTCTTCTTTCTCTCTAACTATGTTCCTTGTCAGCTGCAACTATGGGACAATGAATCTATAGCTAATTTTGTCAGATTTCTTTAGGCTAGTAATTAGAGTGCTGAACAAGAGCATCAGATTCTAGCCTGGGGTTGTGACAGGCATTTAATGTTGTGTCTCAAGGGCTAGTGGGTTGACCAATCAGGGTAGTAGATGTTACTCATTATTTTAATACAGTCTTGCCACAAACTGTTTAAATTTACATCGATCTTACAATATGTAGTCTGCCTTGACATTAAACTTTCCATCCAGTACTTTCCAGATAAAGCTAAGCGTTACTCATTATGAAGCATTAAGGGCTCATTATTGGAAAATGCAAACATTTCAAAGAAAAGCCGAGAATAACTTAATTCTAAAGACACCAGAGCGGGCACCATTACTGTATTAAAGGAGTAACCTTGTTTGACTGTGTATTAGCAGGCCACTCTGAAACCTAACTTAAGAGAAAAGAAACCTTAAACCAGGCAATGAATTGTTATCTAAATCTGAGTTCTAGTTGAAGCTCAAAAATATACTTTTTGGGCCCTGGCTTGTGTGACTCACTGGATTGAGAGCTGGCCTGAGAACCAAAGGATCGCCAGGTTGATTCCCAGTCAGGGCACATGCCTGGGTTGCAGGCCAGGACCCCAGTAGGGGGCGTGCAAGAGGCAACCACACATTGATGTTTCTCTCCCTCTGTTTTTCCCTCCCTTCCCTTCTCTCTAAAAATAAATAAATTAATAAATAATCTTTAAAAAATGTACTCTTTGGGTTTCTTTGGGTAATTAGTGTTGCCTCTGTTTCTTAGTGTCACCAGCTATAAAAATAGAAGTGATTTATCTACTATATTTTAGAGAATTATTGTGAGAATGACTCGGATGACCTGAAAAATTAATGAACTTCTTAAACAAAGCACAATAAAAATATAATTATTCAAGTTCTATTGTGGGGTTAAAGAGAACAATTCACTTAGAGGACACAATGTTTTATTGAGAACATTCTTAATTTTATTTTCTTTAATTTTATAAAATGCATTTTGTAAGATAAGTTTGTAAAAGCTTATCCATTATGTGTGTTAAAATTGAAATTCTATATCAGAAATGAAGGATACTCTTGCAGTTGATTACTCTCTCTTTGTATGTGTATATATGTGTATGTATGCCTGGGAGGTTTTCAGGAAAGGTTGGTTATTTATGTTATTAAATTAAAAAAAAACACAAGGTATGGATTACTTCACTTTTTTTGATCTTGATTGGTTTCTTACAGAACATTTTTCATCTCTTCCCTCTTTGCAGCCTGGAAGCTTATCTGTTATACTGGTCTGAAAACAAATACCAAGTGTCTTTTTGTAAAGATATTACATCTCCTTAAACATTGCTTAAACCACTTTGGCAGGAAATTATACAACTCTTTACCACAAAAAAGCTGCCTACAGTCATATCCATAAAATCCTTCCTTCAATAAGGATCAATCAGCCTTTTATCTTTAAACCAAAGTTAATAAACAAGAAAGAGAAGACTGAAACCTGGGAGCTATTCAGGTTTCAAAATCTTTCCAAAAACCTTTCCTTTTCTGTGGAAACTTGCCAACTGAATAGCTGACAGCTGGAACATTAAGTTATGTGTTCTACACCAGGAGAGAATAACCTGTATGATAAATCTGACTTTTTAACAAACCAAGGTAACACTGCTATACCAAATCATTTCCCACTAGCTAGAAAGAACAATCAGCTAATAATTAAAATAATAGGTTATTCAAATTGAAGTTCAAATTTACCAAATCTGTTTCTGTAGGCAGAATAATTTACAGAAGATTTCAATAGATGCATGGAACTAGCCAATTTTATGTATCATTTGTGATGTTTACTGTTCGATTTTCATTTGTTAAAGAATCATAGTCAAAGAATCATTCTCCAGACCTTTCTGGTACACACCCAGCCAAATGATAAACAAACTGGAAAGTGTGAAATATGCATCAGTCTGAAACAAATCAAGATCTTCAAATCACCTACAATGACTGAATAGATAATACCCATGAGAAGAGCACCATTGTGAAGATATGACAGAGGCCAGAGTACACAGCTAATTAACAGGAAAAAAAAGACATGCTATCATAGAGTTATCTACCCTGTGTCTATCAGAGGGCTGGCTCAGTTTACACCATTAGCCACTAGCAACTGCTGCTCCTTAAGCGAGTCTTTTTTTTAAATCTGAGTAGTTTCTCTCTATTCTCAGCTCCTTGGAAACTACAGAGTTGTCATGGTAGCTGTTCTTAAGGAGAAGGGGGTGAGAAAATGCTGACAACACCCTGTTTCTCTTCTCTAGCAAGGTGTAAGGCCAGGTTTCCCCTCTGTTTACACAGACACTACGCTCCCTTATGCTATAAGTAAGGTTGGCTGAGTTATGGCTTAAATAGTCCTTTGCCATTGGGGTCAGCGCTCTCTTTCTATGGGTGAAAGATCCTTGCTTTGACCCCCTCTCCCAGCTGCAATAGGTAGATTTTGGGAAAAGCTCTTATTGTTTTATTGGCATTCCTTTTTTCTTCTATCTTCAGTGGTAATAGGGAGACAGGACTGAATTCTCTGTTTTGCATACCAAAGAGAATATATTTGGTCCCCATAGATGGAAGTAGGACAAGGTGCCTTCCTTCTTTCTACCTGAGCATCTTTCTTTTCACTTTGTTTCCATGAATGGAAGTATCCTTTGAGAAGGAAACTCTCCCTGATCCTCAGGAGATGCTTGAAAGTTGTGGTAGAGCCTCCATTTCTTTGTGACTTGCAGTTGCAGAGTCACCACCTTAAGCATTTCCCAGTTCTAGCAGGAACCAGCTGTGAAGCAAAATGACTAAAAGAAGTACATAAGAGGGGAGAGTCCACAGAGAGACATCAATCACCACAAGACTCTCCTTTCTTGTTACACTCGTCAAGTAAGAAGAGGGCCAGTCAGTGGCAAAGGCAAAGAGTTAACACGGGAGACGTAGCATGTAGGCTGTGTGGTTAGAGCCTCACTATTAGGGAAAGGGAAGTTTCTACAGGCAATCAGAACTTGGTGCCTCGGCCCATGAGTTTAAGGACAGCAAAGTTGTAAGTGGCAGCAATCATGAAGGTGAGCTGTAGGGAACAAAAGAGAATATGAGTGAGAGTATGAAAGGAAATTCTCTCCCTCCTCCAATATTCTTGGGAATGAGGAAGGGATGAAATAATTTATAGCTAAACAAAGGGGGAAAAATCTATTCTTTAAAAAGTAACACATCCCAGGCTTTTGTCCTATCTACTTGACTACCAGTCCTCCCTGAAACATTTTTTTCCAATGGCCCAGGCCCATAGAACACTCATCAAGGATTTATTCCACACCTATGCTTGGCCTAGCACAGACTTTTCCTGAGGGAAGTGAACAATGCATGGGCTCTGCCATCATTTTACCCACATGTCTGAGTGACCTGGAATCACAGGGCCCTTGCTGCAGGCAACACAGCCTTCCAGTGCTTAATGCATCAATTTATTTTACAAAATGAGAAATGACTATATAAAACCTTCAACAATAGGGGACAGGAGTTCTGTGAGATTATCCTTGAACATTCACCACTTATTCAATGACTTCAGATAAATTGCTTCACCCTTCATCGCCCTAGGTTTTTAATGTGAACAATGAATGCACTCCACTGACACTGTGCTATAATACCATCAATGGGACTTAAGACATAGAATCACATTATAGCAATAACAATTCTCATACTGTTAGGGGGCCCTTCCTGTATTTACAGGAGAGTAACTAAATCCCTTGGAGAATATCCAAGATGGAGTCATATTTACAGTATATAGAATTTCAGGCTTTAGAATACTATGTTTAGTAATATTTCAGTGTTCTTGACACTGATCTGACCAGGATGTGTTGGGAATTAACTGTAATGTATGACTGTAAATCATTTGGTGATATTAAATTTTCTGAAAATGCTAAATATTATTGTTCTTGACTATGAATCTCTTACCTCCTCTTTCCTCATACCATTTGCAGTGTTCCTCTCTAATTTCTGGTTTTTATGCCTTGCCAACACAAAGTAGAAGTGTACAGTCTCTACACTTTGCTGTCTCTTCCCAGCAGCTTCTCTCCATCATTTTAAAGTGAGAAGGAGTCTATTTTTTGCCTTTCAGCATAGGTGGACACCAGTTATCCAGGCCCATTTATTTGCTAATATCATTCAAAGACAACTCACCAGAGAAACCAGTGTGGCTGCAGCCCCCACAAACGCAGCAACAAACAGGTGGAAGGTCATTTGGAACTGCAAGAAAATGCAAAAGGAAGAACTGTTTCTTGCAACAGAAAAAATATACTCTGCTATAGATCACTCATTCATCTTTCTGAATATGTGTTGATATCTTTCTCTGTGTTATTTTTGCATCTCTAACTTGTCACTTCTCTGAGGGTAGATCTCCCATTCTTCAGTGTATACCATAATACCTAGACCCATAATGCCCAGAACACAGAATACATATGAAATACTCATAAAATTTTTTAATAACTGGTTCCTTACAATTGTGCCCAGGATACCAAAATTGTAAATCAATATTTTGCTTTCAAATAAATTATTCACTACCTTCTTCCTCAGGATTACTTTTATTTCTCTGCTTCATTTATGTATAATATCTGTTTTCAATACAGTGTTTCCCTTTTTCAAATGTACTGTTTTTTACTTCTCACTAGAGATTGTGAAGTTCCAAACTGAAAGTGTTTTGTAAAACCTATGAATATCTCTATGCACAATTTTCTTAATGGGTTTTTTTAACTAAAAAGTGCAAATTTTCATTTGGGGGATTTTACCATTAACCTCTATCTTTACCTAAAGTTACACATTTCTCTTCTAAGGGAAGGGTCCTTGGAATGGAAGGCTTTCTATGCACCTCTAGAGAACATAGATATTTTACCATCTATGCTCATTGGCTCAGGGACACTAAGCTGGTATTTTTTTATCCTCATGTGAGGATTTTTTTTTCATTGCTTTTAGAAAGAGAAGAAGGGATAAAGAAAGGGAGAGAGAGAAACTTCAATGGGAGAAAGAAGCATTGATTGGTTTCCTCCCATACACAATCAGACTGAGGATTGGCATTTGTACTGGGGACCATATGCATCTGAAACAAGAATCATCCACATCCAAATCAGGGGTTGAATGCACCCACTCCCAAACCAGGGATCAAACCCACAACCTAGGGATGAGCCCTGACTGGAAATCAAACTCGCAACCTTTCAGTTACAGTTTGATGTTCTAAACAATTGAGCCATACCAGCCAGGTGTAAGCCAATATTTTGTAGAAGGCAATCTGCTAACTCAAAATCCAGCAAAGAGAAACTGTGGTCCTTAAAATTAAAGGCCATGGGTAGGAATTTGTATGGTACTAGCCATTCCACTGTAAAGTAAAGTAACCTAAATGGTGCACTCACCTCAGCTGTTTTACAGATGGACAGAAGGTTAGAGCCACACACCTTGCCAGGGAAAGCATTCCATGGGAGAACGCCTAAGACACACAAATCAACTAAGGTGAGCTTCATGGAGTTGTGGGGCTACATGAAGACTTTTCTTCAGAGCCCTTCTTTCATTTTTTAATCATCCTGGCTGAAAAGTTGGATCCTACTAACAATCAGGACCCTCTTTTCTAAAAATTTACCAAAAAAATAAAAATAAAAGGCAATATTGAATACTTGTAAAATCTTATATTTGTTATTGAAATGTAACTGTTCTGAGTTGGGAACAGCAGTCAAATAGGGTAGAGTTGGGTATACAGCCAAGAAATCTCCTCCCACTTCCAGTAAGTTTCCTTTCAAGGGAAGAAACGTCTCCAGTTTCAGTGGAGAGGGGTTAACAAACTAAGATCCAGGCATCCCTCTTATTTTTCCCCATAATCACCACACTCCTTACCCTAAGGAAAGAACCAAAGTTATAGTGCTTCCATAAGGGGGTTGAGGAGCCAAGGCACTCATGCACTAACTCACCATACATTCTGGCATCAGCACAGAGGCTGCCTATACTGGCAGAGGTCTTGCTGGGGGAGGCAATAGACTGGCAGGTGGTCCAGGTGTTGAAGTAAATGTACACAGGCACAGCAGAACAGGCAAACACCAGGAGCCACACAACAGTCAGGGCATAGGTGATGCCCACAAACTAAAACAATTGACATGGGTTGGTTAGAAATGAGCATTAGCCTGTAGATGTTGAAACACAAAGTGGGAGATCCTGGAGTGGCATGTGCCAGAAATGGAATCAGATTCCAGGGATCTCCACCAAATGAAATTAGTAAGCAAGGCACCTCTGCCAACTGTCATTGGCAGTATCTACTAGCGAACTGGCCCTGAGTGTGACAGAGGATGGCAGGAACAGGTAGGGGTTTGGAGTGAGAAGGATCCCTGGGTTAGAGAGGCTTCAGGAGATTTGTTGGGCAGATAAGGTGTGAAGAAATCAAAGTAGATCTTGAAAGAAAGTCGTGCCATTTCTTGACTTAGGCTGAGCTTAGAAAATATTTCTTATCACAGGACTTTTGATCCCTAGTCATTGAACAGCCAATAGTAAATTTAAATTTCAGATTAAAAAAAAACAAACCCTTTCTAAATCAACTGCTGGTCACAAAAGACATCACCATAATCCACAGATGTTCAGCCCCTGAAGGACCTTTAACTCTAGAGACTGAAAACCAATGTGTGCCTCAATAGAAGCATGGATGGCCCTCAGTCAAAAGATGAAGCATTAAATGTGCAGATTTATCCTAGTTCCCCCTGGGACCTCCAACAGTGTATGATCCCAAAATATTGTGGATTCTACCTTGGAGTCAATTATTTAATTTCCATGATCCACCATCCCTCTCAGATTAGCTACCTATGTCTCAGCTGCATGGATGACATTTTAAACTCTTAGGCAGTCAAATCTACTCTTGTTATGGTCCTTCCTAGGAGGGGAGTAAAGGGATACCAACAGGTGACTTAGAAATGGTCTAATAATACAAAGCATCCCATAAAACTCATGCTTTTCATTTTGACATGAAATTTTCTAGGGAACTTTACAAAGGTGAGGCTAAGCCAGCTGGGCACCACGTTCTTCCTGACCTTGTTCAGCTGTAGCCATCACTTCCTCACTAAAAGGCCAGGTACTGGGAGAGGACCCAGCCTTGGGTGAGGGTGAGGCCACAGACTCATGCCCAATTGTCCCCCACCCCTTGTTATTGCCACAAAATCCTGAGTATGATCACCTTGTCGGGATGTCCTAGCCATTTTCCCAAACAATGACACACCCGCTCCAAAGAATGAGCTTGATGTTGGCCTCTGGAACCCCTCCCCTTCTGGCCCCCTGTTACCGTTGCGCTCAGGCCCTTGCCGCAGATGGTGGTCTTGTAGTCGCCAAAGATCTGCCTGACTGCACCGGTGGTGTAGAAACCCTCAGCCAGCAGGAGGGCCCCATAAAGGAAGAAGAAAGAGGCAGTTCCATAGATGACATACTGAAAGGCATGGATCCTGCATTAATAGATAGACAAATGAGACCAGAGAATCTTATTAATTGAGGAACCAGTTCCCTTCCTGCATAAATGACGTGAACACTTAAGTGGGCACCTAAACAAGACTAGTGAGTCTTTACAGGAATAACTAGGCTCTGCCTCCATGCTTCCACCTTATTTGGATTGAAGTAAAGGAAGACAGGGAGTGTGTGGCTAGATGCACATGCTTTTCCGCCTGCACCTTGCCTACACTGTGACCTGAATAACCAGAACCCTACTCTCTGCCTAACCCTTCAGAGATGCTCCCTCAGAGAAGAGAGGAGAGAGGAGCTGGACAAGAAAACCAATGAAGGAACAGGAACCTAACTTGCTCTAGGAATAGGAGAAGCTAGTAATGGGCCTGAGCAGACTCAAGTGGTGTGTCAAACTAAGTGCAGTGACCCTACTCTGTCCAGTCATTACTCCTCCCCCGAGTTCTCTATACCTACCATTTCAGAGGCTCCAACTCAGTCAATGTTAACTCTACTGAGCAAAAGTTTGAATGCATCGAAGAGAGCAAGGGCTGGGGGAGTGGCAAGCAGACAGACTCCTGCTTTCTAAACTTGGCACTTTCTCCTTATTTAGGAGTTCAAATGTGCCATAAGTGAAATCTGCACACAGAAGAAAGACTCAGGAATCCTTCCTGATGCCACATCAACCCTCTACTTGTCACTAAGGTACTTATGAGTTCTGTGTCTCCAAGATGGAGAGAGGGAAAAAAAGAGGGGTTTGTGTGGGATGACAAGTACTTACACATTGATAAGATACTCATAGTCCTGGTAGTTTTTGGAGAAATAGGTCTCAATTAGTTTTTCTGTACCAGTGAGGGCTTCATGTCCACAGCCACAGAACAGCGCCACCCCAAAGAAACACAATCCAGTGGCCACCAAGGAGGCAAAGGGGGCCCCTACGAGACATCTTGCACAGCACTCTAACAAACCTGGGGAAGAAGGAGGGGAAACAGTCAGGAGTGTACAATAGGAAAGCCATGCCACTCATACCTCTCTGCCAGACGAGCCAGGCCCTGTGCTCACATGCATGGATGGAGTGTCACCTCAGAGTCCTAAAAGCAGAAGAGTATAGAGCTTTAGGCTTGTGGAGTGTGACATTGACCCCCAAACTATGCATTCCAGGTAGGGGAAACTGGAAAATTGCATGCTCCTGGATATTCCTGAACATTGTGTGAATGTGCTGCATGGAATGCTTGATTCTTATTAGTCTAAATGTGTGGGCAGCAGTCCAAAGAGATGGTGGGAACTGGCAGAGGACAGAAGATGGTAATGGGAGAATTACTATTATTATTCCCAGTAATAAAAATTCTTAGTGATTTTTGAACATTTTTCCATTGCTAATTTCTCCTCTTATATTATTGCTTAGCCAATGTCCCCATCCTTAGCCTTACATAGCATTTCTGTCAAAACAGCTACAAAGAGACTTTAAACAAAGTCAGCAGAGCATTAAACATCTTTCTGACATGACAAAAACAGACCAGGGCCTGGGAACACAGATGTCTTAAAGTGCTAACAGTCCCTGAGATCCCCAGACCTGCTGAGACAGGAAAAGCACACCTCAGCTTCTCCTCAGAAGTCTCAGACTCTGAAAACAGTTGTGCCCCAATTACTAAGCCCATGCTCTCAGGTTCCACATGAAGTAAAACTCAACAAATTTCAAGTAGATGATTGTCTAAATGGGGAAAGGATGGCTCCCTCTGGCCTCTTGGTCTGATCCCCAAAAGTTAGAAGAAATAAAAGTGTTAATCATGTTAGAAAAGAATTCTTTGAATACATACATATACAAATACATACAGTGATTTTTATATCTATTCATTATAATATATATAGATACGATATATGAAGTATTTTATATTTTTGTATATTATATGTATATGAGTTATTTGTACACATACATACACACATAAATAATCAGCAATTGTGATGAAAAACTGTTATTTTGGAAAAGCATCTTGGGGATTCTTATAAAAAGAAAACAAATTGTATTAATTTTTAGGTTTGACTTTTTATACATAGCTCACTTATCTATACCAGAGTATCAGGGACTACAGGAGTCCTTTGCCCAACACTTTTAATACTGGTATGGTTTCTTTTTAGCCCTGAGTGCGTGATCATTGGGCGATCTGCATGGCTGAATTGCATCAATGTGAACAGATTCTAAAGAACCAAATTCTCTATCATGTGAAACTTGAGGGAGACACATTTATCTCTGTTTTCAGGGCTACAGAATGAGTTAGTCCTATACCTACTATCTCCTAAAATGGCAGCCCTTCCTTGGTCCTCAAAGAGCCTTTCCTTAAAGATTCTTCTATATCACACCAGAGATTAGGCTTGGAAGCCCAAGCCAAACAAAGTAAGTAGTTAACATTTGCAACAGAACTGAATTTGTTTTCTTTTCCAAGAAATGAAGCACTGCTGTCAAAAAGCTTGGCCTCTTTTGGAAGCAATTTGTAGCTGGGCTGCTGTAAGTAAAGGCAGGGTATACTTAGCATGAATTTTGCAATAATGCTTGGTAAGAGTATCTCATCAGAACTGGCCTATGTTGTGTGTGTGCGTGTGTGTTTGCACACGCGCACACACATGCATACATGCAAATGTGCACACACATGCATGTGTATACTGGAGAGAAAAATACAGCATTTGAAATTGATTATTACTTAGGAAAAATTCCAGAAATTGATCTTCCTTTTCACAATGAGTTAAAATACTAGATGTATCCCGTAAGTCAAGAAAAGGAGCTTGAAAATAAGCAGTGCTGCCATTTTCTTTCTCTGCCTATCCAATTTTTCCCTACCCTCTTCTAGTAAAGAAAGTCTCTGAAGCCTGGGGGTGGGGGAAGGGAAATGTCAGTGACCCCACTGTTCCCTCTCTCCCTAGCACAGGGTCAGGGCTTAGACAGAGCCCTCCATGCTCCCCCAGACAAAGAAGCCTTGTTTTTCCCAGAGATTTCAGGAGCCTCATTGGTATTCTTCAGGGGCCCACAGGCCTGGGCATGGAGAGGGGGTCAGACCAAGGGAACAATGGCAGAACTGTTTGTTTAGAGTAAGGAGAGCCATCCACCCTAGCAAGTGACTATCCTATGCCCACTCACTCACCCCGGCTTTTTCACCCTGGGAAGGGCTAACTGGTGGTGCAGGTGTGATCAGAGATGGAGGAACTTGAACTTTTGATAACCAGAGAATTCCACTCTAAGTTTTAGCTGCTCCCCCTCTAGGGTTGTAAAAGTTAGGGAAAATTCTCTTTAGTGTATCTGATCCCTTGATCATTAGCCATGTAACCAGGGAGTGTCATATGTATTGTTCATACTGGGTGATGAAGGGCTAAGCTTGATACTCTCTGTTCACATCCATTTTCCCTCTATTTTCTTAGAGCTTGAATAACACAGAAAATCCTTTTCTGCTCTACAACCACTCAAAGCAAGAGACAAAAAGGACATAGGCATTAATGAGTCTCTAATGTAGAGCTGGAAATAAATGACCCTAGATAAATCTATCACTGTTGAGCTATAACCGGTTCAATATTGACATAAGCATCAGATGTCCTTCTCTTCACAATTTAAGTGAAATGTTTGTTCTGGGGGCATTTAAGTCCATCAGAAGTGAAGAGTCTGTCAGTCTGTCTAGGTAAAATATCAAATTTTGGGTTCCAATAGAGAAAAACTTAGAACATGCAAGAAATTGCATCTTCATCAAAGTAGCTGACAATCTAAACATTCTGAGAAAAGTCCATTGGATTCACTTTCATTTTTCACAACCCAATAAATGTCCATGGGAATGGGGGAATAAGAGCCTAAAGCCACAGGGTCTCTATTTCAGAATCTTTCATGGTTGAAAGGGTATTGGTGTGATTCTGGAAGGTTGTGAGGGATTCTGAAGGTTTCTTGCCTCTCTCAAGAAACAGTCTTACATTTTCCAGGCTAAGTACAACCTGAAACATAGTAGAGTTGGCATAAAAAACTATTTAGTAATAATATTACCCAATGCAACTCAGTTGGATTAAACCAACTAACTTTGATGAGAGGTCATAGAGAAAAATAATGACCATCCCCCAGTGTTTTACTTTCATTTCTGTTTATGTGGATTCAATACAGTTATTAAACACATTAGCAGTAACCTAGATCCTATGATAAACAAAAGGGAATTATAAGGCTCAGTTCCTTTCTTCAAAGACCTTTCAGTCTTGTTGGGGAGGACAAACTTATATCTGTGAACCAAAGACCAAAGCTACCTATCATCTTGTGTTAAAATGTATATAACCAAGTACTGTGGGCAAAATGTAAGGAAAGGGGAACTATTCAGTGTTGATTAGATTTATCTGCAAACTCCCCAAACTAGTCTAATGGATCTATGATAGAACTTCAAGCCCTCTTCACCAATGCTGTTCACAGGAGTCTGACAAAGATTGACAGGACTGTTGTGACATGCCAATACCTATCTAAGAGACTGTGTTGATCCTGATGCTGTCGCTTTAAGCAGGAACCAAGATCTCCCAAACCCTCCCTCCTTTCCCATGCCCCAGGCATGCCTCAAGAACAAAATCCATGATGGAAATTCATTATGAATCTAAAAACTCATCAAAGGGAGGAGAGGAAGGGCTTCATCAAAAGAGATGATAGAAAGAAACCAATTGTGCCTTGCACAATTCCCAGCTTGTCCCTTGAATCCAGCTAACAAAGGGAAAGATAGACCCCTATACAATATAGCTAAACAACAGGCAGTCTCATTGAGTAAAAAACTGGCCCTATCTCACTAGGTCTCTAATGTGCACTACAGTCTTACCTCCTCCCAGACTCCCACCCCTTAACTTCACCCCATGAACAGAGGCCTCCTTGATCAGGGCCTATAAGCAGTTGACAGGGCCAAGATGCTATAGCATCGGTGACTGGTACTGGGGATGGATAGGAATCACAGGGTGGGTTCTAGGAATAAAACAACAATCATCAGGAAGTACCAGTGACAAAGACTTTTGCTTCTGGCCTTACCCTGCAGACAAAGTCCTGCCTAAATCTTGTCTTTCCTACATGGAATCAGCTCTTATACCACATTCAAAGGCTGGAAAGGGGCCCTGCAGGCACTGGGGCATGGGAATCCAAGCCTGCTGGATAGACAAGTCATGTGGACATAGTTAAAGCAAAAGAAATCCTAGCCTCCTCTTTGAATGGATATTATTATTACGATGGCAACAGCATCTTGACCACCTTGTTTCCGGTACTCCCTGTTCCTCCACAGCGCCTGCACACATGTGCACACACAACTGATTTATGGCGAAACATTGGGAGGCTAGGGTAGAAGTTTGATTGTTAAACTCTATCCATAACACACTGCCTTTACCTCGCCCACATATAAGAAGGTAAGAAAGAAGCAACTGACACTAAGCTAAGGGACAACAGTTTTAATACCTTATTCTTTAGGTCAGTCTCCTACCAATCTCTCCTCTCTTCCTGGTTGCTGTGTAAAGCTTATCTGGGGAATTTGTTGTCTTCTTTGGGATATCAGTGACTCTTTTTCAGAGTCCTGCCTGGCAGAGAGCTCAGAGGCCAGCACAGAGTGGAGAGACTGTCCTTAGAATCATTTGAAAATATCCAAGGAGGAATTAATCCATTAGTACTTGCTGAGCTTATAAGTTTAGCCCCTGTCAGTGGGAAAGGGAGGAAAAGCTGCTTTGTTTGCCTTCCATGGTTGATGTGACCCTTCCTGATCATGTCACTATTCTGACTAGATATTACCCTGGACCTGAATTTTTGTGGGTAAGGAAGGCATTTCTATTGCTGTTTTCTTTGAAGACTAAGAACTATCCCCTGATGATGGTTTTCAGGATAATACACAAAAAAGCAAAAAGAGAAAAAAGATGCCACTGGCTGGGGTTCTGCCTTGATGGGTTTGAAGACTGTATTTCCCCCTCCCACCCAAGTACCAAGAGGTTCTTGAGCCTTGTTATTACTTAGATAGCTTTGTGAGAGTACTTCTAGTTGTCAGGCTGTTGAGTAAACTGTCTTTCCTAGCGCAGAGCCAGGACAAAAGCCCCTCCAAGCGGAGAAGATTTTTACATCTGCCTGGCTCTCCAAGGGCTCCTCTGGCTCTGCAGGACCAAGGTGAGGAGTAGGGTGCAGAATGCTGTCCGTGATCATTTCAATAAGTGTCTCTAAGAAGAGTAAGTAAATGTGCTTGTTTGGATCTGGTTTCTTTTTAGCTCCTGGAATTCTTGCAGCATTCTTAGCATCAGGGTGAGATTCAGTTAGTATTCAGGCATTTTGTAAAGCTGGATCCCTGCTCTGCCTTCACATTTTGTTTGGCCTATACCAACTTACTCTAAGCTAGCCAAAACTACATTGCTCAGCAAAGAGCCACCTTTGAAGGGAAACATCACAGCCTGGTTACTAGGATAACAACCACTGTCCTCAGACAATAGGCTTGCAGGATTCAATGTTTTGCTGTTCAGTAATGGCATTGTGTTACTGAACAGAAACTAATCAGGTACTGCTCTTTGGCTCTTTTGTGGTTCTAGTGGTATCCCAAAGACTCATTTGAAACATCCTCCTCCCAAATTGGGAGAAGATTTAAAGAACTATCATTTCCCCCATAAATCTTTTGTGCAGACACTACTGAATTCAGTGTTCCTCTTTGCTTCCAATGCTACAGCATTCTATATGGTTGAGGTAGTGAACTCCCTGTACCTGAAGGTGATTAAGAAGAGGCTGTAGGAACGTTTAATTGGCTACTGTAAAAAGGACTATTGCATTAAGGTTTGGCTCAGACAGCTTCTAAAGTTTCTTCCAACCACAGATTCCATGACATAACCGTCTACTCTAATTGTTAAAGAATCATGAACTTTCATCTCCTGAGGAAGTAATATTTAGCACCATTCTTTACTCTCTCTCCATTTTTAAAACACAACCTACCCAAACCACTGCCCTGACATCAGGTAGGTTTTCTGATGTCAGGAACTGGGCAGGAATTGAGTTTCTCCAATATTCACCTCTCACCTGGCCACACTCAGTTGGTCAAATGATTCTTACACAAGTGCACAATGTGCAGGCAAAGAAAACCCAACGATTTTTGGAAAAAATAAGAGGTCAGCTGTACACAAGTTATTGTATAATAATTGGCATTATGATTTACAATGGTTGGCTGTAATTATCGCTTGATTTTCACAACCTTGAAAGGAGACAAAACAGTTATTGTAATCCTCATTTTCCAAATGAAAAAGTGGTAATTCACAATGACTTATCCAAGGTCACAAAGTTCATATGTGGCAGATCTTGGATATAAGCTTAATTGTATTGACTTCTAATTTAGTGCTCTGCCCTCCTAATTATCCTACTGAATACATGCTGAAAAGAGCTCTCTTGATGTTTCAGGATAGAACAACCTAAAGGCTGACATCAGCTTAATAGAGTTGAAAACTTATCCTCCTGGATGTTACCAGAGTCTTCTGGGTACCACAGTTGATGGTGCATACACAGGGCAATCAATTATTACTTTATTTAGGATGCATTCAAGCTGCTACTCTTATTTTGCCACATGTAATAAATATCTACATGTTTCTGTGGCATCCTGTGTGGACAAAAATCCTTGTGCTCTACACACCTTGCTCTGAGTAAACAACTACCAACGACTAAACATCATAGCTTCTCACTTTGTTCATGGAACCTGGAGAAGCCCTCAGTACTCAACCAAGTCAGCAAGAGCCTTAAGGCCCTAGCAGCCTCTTTGTCATAGTGGGGATTTAGAGTTTGGACTATGCCCTCAGGAAGGCTAAGCCTGTGAGATTTGTTAGATATGGCCACCCATACATGCAGGCACGCACACACACACACATACCTACTCATATCCATTCTCCATGGTAAAGCCATTGAAGACTTTATTTTCATTTTCTGAAATTGAGATTGGCCTCCTTGGCCATGGCCAAGCCTGAATCCATCTTACCTAATTCACCAATTTCCTACTGTTGCCAAACAGGGTCCAAATTTCGTATCAAGCAAGCAGTTATTTAGTACATCTGAGGGGTACCCAACAATCAGTTGCCTCCAGCAGAATCAGGGATGTCAGCTGACCAGGTCATTACCAGGGCCTGAGAACCAGGGGGAAAAAGAAGGTAGAAGAAAGTGACCATATCCAGCCTGCTGGGCACTCTCTCCAAGGACCTATGGGACTCTTCATGTGCTATGCTGGAATTCTTTGCCGATAAAGCATCAATCTCAATACAGCAGAGAAGGAGTTAATCTAATTGAGTGCTAAGGAATTAAGAAACAAAAACAAAACAAAACAAAACAAACAAAACAAACAAGTGCCAAAACACAACTCACTTATACCATTGAAAACCCTGAACCCTAAAGTTGGAAATTCTATTGTGCATTCCTGTGCTTGCTTAAATATTCCATGCTAAAGTTTTTGAAACTCACCCATGTCTTTGGGACTCTGACTTCAATTGTAGCCGGCTGGCTAGTCTGCTTTACAGCTTTGTTCAGCTGGAAGAATCCTGGTCTCTCCAGTCTCCTTCTTCGGTCCTTTACTTTTTCTCTCTGAGTATCTTTGTCCTCTTCTCCAGCAATGAAAAGGGCCTTCTGATTGACAGCCAACCCACTTAAAGGGACAGGCTTGCTTTCCTCCTCCTCTCTTCCTCCCCTTCTCTTCCCTTTGTCCCCACCTCCTCAGGGATACTCCCTTCTCTGAGGGCTCCATCTTTTCTGCCTTTCACTGTCAGGTTTTGTTTTGTTTTGTTTTATTTTATTTCTTTTTTTCTTTCTTTTTTCTAAGACTTGCCTATGTGAAATTTCACTTTGCTGCAGAGACATCTGGAAATGCGGTTGGAGCTGGAAATGAAAAAAAAAAATATAGGACCTGGAAGTCTCCAACTGATACTTAGATCTATTTAGTGTAGGATATGGTCGCACAAGTGTCAAAAGCCATGGAAGTGGTAGCTCTGGTGAAAAGGTCAAGGTCAAAACCCTAGATGCTATCTTTCAGAGTCCCTCTGACTCTGGCCCTAACTCCAACCCTCACCCATAGCTGCCCTTAGCCCTGTCCACATTTCCCATCTCCCTACTCCTTGGCAAATAAGCACCTACCCCACCCAGCTTCAGAAACACAGTCGAGAAGAAACATTTGTCTTTTAAAACAATATCCTCCAAATGAATGAGGACAAAATACAAGCTGTTGACTCCACAAACAGATTGTGATCAAGTATTGCATAATTTCATCAAGAATATAACAGAGATCCAGAGAGGGGTCAAGTCCTATGCAGATTCACAGAATAGACTAAAGAAAAGTTCAGACATAAGAATGTGGGTGATTTACAAGGAAGATAATTGACTTTGATACCAGTCAAGAACATGATCTGGGAATCAGGTAGTCAGTTGCCATCCTGAGAAGGCAGCATCATTGGAGAGCTAAGGCTAGGCTCACAGGGAGGTTATGGGTTGGGTTGAAGCAGTGGATGCCAGTGAGGGTGTAGAGAAGAGGAAAAGAAATACAGTGCTTTCCCCAGAGAAAGAAACACTAAGAAAAAATGGCCAAGCAGCAAAAATATGGGACTAATATATGAAACCTGCCTTACCAATAATAGTTGTTTCTAAAGACTATGAAGGTATTTGAGTGCCAAGAGAGATTAGCTTGGGAAGTTCTTCTAAAAGAGGTGAATCTTAACCAGTGTCTATATAGTCCCTTTGTTACTGTTCTTTATCCTTTCAGGAGCCTCAGAAAGTCATAGATCTCTTGAACTTGAGGCCCACATCCTCCCATGGATGACCTGTAAGGAAGCTGATTGGCATATAACTGGAGGGGTACCTGTTGGAAGACTCCAGGGGAAGAAGGTATGGGCTTTCAGAATTTTTCCTATGATTTTGCTTTGGGGTCAGAGAGTAGAGGATGTACTGAACAGAGCCTAGAGTCTTCCTGCAGAGGCAGAGAGGCAAGATTGTGTCTTACACTTTTTCTTTGAGCTGTAATATTGAAGTTGTCTTGGGCTCTGCTGTTAGGAAAAGGGTGAGTCTTCTACAGATGGCCTTGTGGGTCCACTGGAGTTCTGAGTCCTGCAGTGTTTGGGGTTCAGAGTTCTAGAACTCTAGGTCCTTTGCTCTTACACTATCCCCAAGGAGAAAGGATCCCTGTAAATGAAGCCCTTTTTAAAGAATAGAATAGAAGTAGCTTTCTAGAGTAGACAAGACTAAGGCCATATGACTGAAGGTAGAAGGTCCCAGGACCCCTGACCTCACCAGTCCTGCTTTACAGCCCTACACTCTGCCTGTTGAGGAAACTGGGTTGTAAGATTGTGCCAATGATTAACTTCGGTATAGCTCTTTGTTAGAATAGCCATGGAAGAGAGGGAGGACCAAGAGCAAGAAGTCCCCAAATGTGTGCCCTCAGTTACTCAGATAACAGAAGGAACTGAGTCCATACTTTGGGGGGTTCTGATTTAGGCATCAGAGAGATGGTTTTCCACAGCTCGAATAGATGAGATAGGCTTGCATGCAAGGGAGATTGCTCAGGCTGAGCCCTCTCATTAATCTACTCCTGGATTTTCAGCAGCAGCTCTGGAGACTGCTAGGTTCCTCATAAGAAAAGATGTGTTCCAAATAAATCCACAGATACCAAATTTTCAACCAGGTTCACCTAACACACATTTCTCTTTTTCCTTTCCTCCATTACTATTGCCTTACTATGCATTTTGTATTCTCCTCAAGTTTAATCTCTGTCTTTATCTATCTTCTCTGTCTCCATGTCTGTTTCTCTCTATCTGTTCCTCTGTCTCTCATTTTTCTTTTTTCTCTCTCTACACTCCTTGATGGAACATGCCCTCCTGTCTCCACCTTATTCTTATGACCAGGGATTGGAAAGGGGCTTGGCCAGGTGACTGCATCGTGCTCTCCGCCCTCAGTGCCTTAAGGTTCCCAGGTCCCCAGAGTCTAGTGTGTTGGAATCACTCTTTTGTCCTAACACTCTGCCTCAGCACCCACTAGCCAGCCCTCTCCTGATCCTTTCCCACAGCCATGACAAGGTTTCTTTCCTGGCGCCCAAGGGTTTTTAAAAATTTACCCAGCCCCACCTATTTCTGAGATTCTGTCTCCAATCGTTCTTCTGGGTGTCCCTGGCAAAATATTCTTGAGTCCAGCTAGGTCACCAGCAGTGCCCAGGGATTCCTTAAGAGGGCACTAGCAGCTTTCTTGGTGGGAGACTGCTGCCTGCACTTTGTGCCTGTGGGAACAATGCAGAATTGTATAAAACTAGTAAACAGTTTCTTTCATGCAATTCTGATGGTACCTCAGAGGATCTGGGCCCCCTTGATCATAACTTGCTTTGATTGTGCAACTTTCTTGCAGAAAACTCCAAAACACTTGGATATTACCTTCACTCTGTGCTCTGTGGTCCCATGGTACTTGACTCTTGAAGGCTACTGCACAAGTGGGCACTCTTTGCTCCATTATATACACTGAATTCTGAAACTCAGGGAGTTCCAGTGAATTTCTCCTAGAAAATGAAATAAGGGCTCAAGTGCCCAATTTAATGATCCACTTCTCCATGTCCACATAGAAGATGATAAAGGGGAACAAAGAACATATGGTACTAGTGAAAGCCAGAGGTCAACTGCTAGCATTTGAGTTTATGGACCTGAGGCTTTGTTTATTCTCCACAAGATAATGTCCTCTCAGGACAAATTTAGGAAGGCAAGTGGCTTCTTCGTACAGCTTTTGTAGCATTGGCACAGAAGGTTGGCTGGCAAGCAAGCAATATATTATGCTCTATGTATTTGCTGATGATACAGCTTCCCATACCAAACTTCATGCTAATTACCTAGACCATGTCTTTCTGGCCGAGAGAACTGAGGGCTGAGGGCTAGAGATGTCACATATTTTGAGCTAGCATGGGCAACTGGAGGCTGATTTTCTTCCTCTCCTGAAGATTCAGGGAGAAGTGAAAGGATGAATGGGAGCATGTGATGAATTGAATGTGTATTTGGGAGGGGGAGATGCCCATGACTTCTGGTAGAGTGGAAGGCAAAATAATCAGAATAAGACTTCTGGTTAAGATGGAGGCATAGATAAACATGCCTCACCTCTGCACACAACTACAGCAACTAGACTGCAAAAACAAATATCACCCAGAATTGTCAGAGAATCAAGCTGTGTGAAAGTCTAACAATCAAGGATTTAGAGAAGCAACATTCATCCAGATGGGTAGGAGGGACAGAGACATGGAGGGATGTGGAGAGGTGCAGAGAGGTGGAGAGGCGTGGAGAGGCACAGAGATGTGGAAAGGCATGGAGAGACATGGATCTGGGAGTGGGTAGTTCCACACCCACATGCAGTATATAAAGACCTCAGGAGTGAGGGGTCCCAGCTCCAGATCACACCCCCCATCCCAGGGTTCCAGTGCCAGGAAGATAAACCCCCATTACTTCCGGCTGTAAAAACCAGTGGTGGTTGGGACAGTGGAATAAACTACAAGATTCTCAAGGGACTCCTCTTAAAGGGCCCACAATGGACTTAGGACTTCTGTAGACTCACTCCCTCTGGGATTCAGCCCCAGGGCAACACCTGGAAGGGCACCAGTGGAATTTAGGGAGAAAATGAAGTGAATGCATCAGGGCAAGTGCTTGGAGACAGCTTCCTCCCTGGCAAAATTCCAGAAACCAGGCAGTAGCATTGCCCCCTCTCTAAATCCTCCCCTACAAAGAGCCACAGACAGTGACACAGGTTGCCCTGCCCTGGCAAATACCTAGGGCTCCACCCCATACAACTTACAGGTGCACTTTTCTACAATATACCACACCACTAAGACATGGAGTCAAAGTAACTCTACTTAATGCAAAGAAACAAATACAGAGAGGCTGCCAAATTGAGGAGAAAAAGAAATATGGCCCAAATGAAAGAACAGAACAAAACTCCAGAAAAAGAACTAAATGAAATGGAGATAACCAACCTATAATATTCACAGTTCAAAACACTGGTTATCAAGAACTCACTGGGTACTTCAACAGCATAAAAAAGACCAAGGCAGAGATGAAGATTGCATTCAGTGAAATAAAGAAAAATGTATAGGGAACCAACAGTGGAGGAGACAAAGCCAAGACTCAGATCAACAATTTGGAACACAAGGAAGGAAAAAGCAGTGAGAACAGCAGGAAGAAAAAAACAATTTAAAAAATTAGGATAGGCTTAGGAACTTCTGGGACATCTTTAAATGTACCAACATCCAAATCATAGGAGTGTCAGAAGGATAAGAGTAAGAGCAAGAAATTGAAAACCAATTTGAAGAAATAATGAAAGAAAACTTCCGTAATTTGGTGAAGGCAATAGACATAGAAGTCCAGGAAGCACACAGAATGCCAAACAAGATGGATGCAAAGAGGACCACACCAAGATACATCATAATTAAAATGTCAAAAGTTAAACATAAAGAGAGAATCTTAAAAGCAGCAAGAGAAAAGCAGTGAGTTACCTACAAAGGAGTTCACATAAGGCTATTGGTAGATTTATCAAAAAAACTTTGGAGGCAAGAAGGGACTGGCAAGAAGTATTTAAAGTGATGAAAAGCAATAAGCTACAACCTAGATT